GAAGGGAGAGGAGGCGGAGGGACACACGTGAGAGTGAGAAAGAAAGGTTGCATAGTAAATTGAAGACAAAGAAGCAGTATGAGAATATGAGACACAAGAGAGGAAAAGACAGAGAGAAAATCCAAATGGAGTGTTTGGTCTGTGTAACAAAATATGTTCAGAGCTATCGATCTATCGATCTATCTAAAGACCAAAGTCTTTTCGAAACATTCTAAAGACTGAAGTAGATTGGAATTGGACAGTGGTGAGGAGTGTACCTACATGAGTCTCATCTACCACTTTCCCTTTGTATAAGTGTGCCTGGTCACCTTGATAACTCTATTCTCCCTTCGTTTCCTAGATATAAGTTTTTAGAGATTTCAATATAAGCTACACACAGAGCAAAATGAATAAACCTGCACTCTAAAGTATGTCTATATACATCCGTATGTAGTTCATATTAAAATCTCTCAAAAGACATATATTTAAAAACAGAGGGAGTAAGATGTGTTGTTCTTCAGCGAGCTACTAATTCCTGGTAACTTCAGTTCAGGCGTGATGAGTTTTGTCCATGAGGAATGGGGGGATATTGCAGTAGGAACGGGGATGTAGTGGAGAGAGAAAGTACCGACGAGGCAGGCTCGCCTCGGCGCACGTCCAGCGTGCCGACGGCGGTCCCAGCGCTGTTCCGGAAGTCGGCTACGTCGACGGGCACAGCCGAGGGCAGCAGCGGCACGGCTGCTGCCGCCTCGGCTGCCAGCGCTCGCGCTACCTCCCGGTGCGCCAGCGACGGCAGCGTTACCTGCTGCTGCTCCAGCGGCATGCGCGCGCGCACGGTGGTGCCCGACCTTCTGCCCCTGAGAGGCGGAGCCGCGCCACGGCCGAGGCGGGAGATGGTAGGGAGCGTGGGCGCAGCCACAGAGAGAGAGGTCGCCGGCCGGAGCATGGCACTCTCCACTGCGTAGACAAGGAGATGCCAAATACGGTTATCAATCCACGCCGAGCAGATGGCAGCTTAAAATCACATCACATGTGATGCCGGAAGAATGGCCAGCTGACACCCCGTGAAGGCAAGGTACTCATGATTCCTGACGTGAACGTGCTGCTGCCAGGCGGGCGAAAACACCTCGTGAATACGAGTGCTACTCCTGTACAAACACGTAGCTTCAGTATGCTGAGCCCGCTGTCTCCCCACCAACCGGCAGGGTCAGCAGGTCCAAAGCGCCTTTCTACTGTTACACTTTATTGTCGACAACCAGTACTCTATGTTTCTTTAGGCGGAAAGTATTATAAGTTAGGATCATGCATATACGATAGTAATGTATAATACTATCTCGATAATAAATAATATTATTGATATTGTTAATACACGTTAGATGATGTGTGACGGGTTTTGCTAGACCTGCACAAAATTTGCTATGAAAGTTACGTAGGGCGTGATCTGTGCTTGTT